CATTCATGAGTGTCAAAGCTGTGACATATTTCGAATGTACACATTGAATGAAAAAAAAAGAAATACAAAAACAAGAAAACAAAATTTAACGACGTCGACCACCTTTGTAAGCTGTTCGTGGAATTGGTTTTTGTGTCTGTAAACATTCTTTAATTAAACGAAGTGCTTCTTTGATTTGCCTTTTCGTTCCTTTAATCACAGATGGTTCATTATCATCATTTGTTAAATGAATTTTTGCACCGGTTTGTTCACGAATTTGTGTTATATGTTGCCCTAAAAATTAAATTATATAGAACTAAGAAATATCAACAAAAAAAAACGAATAAATATACCAAATGGACCAATTAATAAACCAACTTGTCGTCCTTTAACATAATTTAATTCTTTAACAAATATTCGTTTATCATCAGATGATTTTGAACGTTGAAAATCATCATCATTATCATCAGATTCTGTTTCTGTATCATCATAATTCAATGGTGCATCTTCATAATTATAACGATTTTTTGATAATGATGATGATGATGATGAATTTATTGAAATAGTTGATCGTTGTTTTGATTCACTTAAATCTTCAAGTGAAGTAGTAATATTACTATTTAAAGTTATTTCACAAGTATCATTTGGTTTATAAGCACCATATTCATGAGCACATGATTCATCATAATTTACTGATGGATCATACATTGGATATGATTGATTACTGTCTTCATCAGTAAAATGAGCTTGTTCAAGAACATTTTGAATAATTTCTCGAATACAACTAAGACACAAACAATGATGTAAAGTTTTTTAAAATCCTTTTGCATATGAATATAGAAAAAGTCTCAGTGCATTACTATTTTGTATTTGTATTGAGTGCTATCAGAATTATTGTATTATAAGTGTAAATGAGGTTTGATCAATGATTTTTTTAGCATTTATATAGATTTATTTTCTTCTTTACTTAAAAATTAGTGAATATTGACTTGTAAGATATTGATATCTTCATAGAATCATCATTAACTATCAATTGTCTGAAAAACAACCATATATGAACAGCTTTTGAATAGAAATTTACGTAACCAGAATATTTTTGGTTACGGTTACAATCACAAAGACCTTTTTGGATTTAGTGAACAACAGAATGAAATTGTTTGGTTGTTACTGTTTTTTGTAACATGATTGCAATTAAGCCATTTTAAAATTGCTTATTCTTTTTTCATGATGGAACATTATTCTCCGATAAATATGACATATATATTTATCATTCACTCAATAAACTCATTATATATGCTGATTGTTTATGATGCTCAACATTTCTTCGTTGAACTATTCTCATACTCTAATTTCCTGTCCTAATATGTTCCGGTTTCATATTTCACCAATCCCAAGCTTTCTTTTTGTTGTTTTATTTTTAGATAAGATCATCTTGTGGAAATTTTGAACTTTCGAATTCTATAATCATATGTCCTATGAACTCAATGAACTTTTTTAACGACATCTCAATGCTATATCATGCATCTTTCAAACGATTGAATAGCTATGTTGTTGAGCATGCATTCAATAGATATTGTGCTTTAGTCTCAGTACCATTAGCCATGAAATAATTCGAGAAAAGTCACTTCCGACTGTTTGTCTCAGATCACTTGTTCGATAGCTTGCTGACTAAGTGATGGCATATATCTGTTCTCATGATTAGTCAGGGTGTATATGTAGAGAGATATCGAACTAATGAGTCTATCGTTATAGAACATTCTGTACAAGAAAACTTACTAAATAATATATTCACTATGTTGACAACGTAATAGTACAACACGTTCATCACTTTGTGGACATGTTTGTGGAAAAACTTTTACCATATCAAGTTGATATTTATCACGTAAACGTTCAAGACGTTCATTACGTTTTCCAGTTATAATTGATATAAACTTTTTGTGAAATAATAATCGAATTTCATATTGATCTGATGAACATTTAAAAGCAACCATTAAATCTGTTAAAATATCCATAGATGCATCAAGATCATTTTGATCTATTATTGTTAATATACATTCAATGGATGATTGACATGAAAGTTTTAATACATCATGAAATTGTTCAATATCAAGACTTTTTATTAATTCTTGTCGAACATAATTTGGTATTAATAAACGAAATGGAAGATAACGAGATAAATCATTAAGACCTTGTCGTGTTGCATCTGTCCAAACTGGTGGCGTTGGTTTATATTCATCTGGACTAGGTGAAGGAGATTTAGGAACTAAAGATAGGACATAAAATAAAATTGAACTTTATATTATTTATTCATTTCGGTTACTTGTTTCAGGTACTGGTGGTACTACTGATTGAGGTGGTGGTGAAGGTGAAGGATGAGGTAATGGTTGATGTTTACTAAAATCTGTTGTTTTATTTAATTGTAATTCACCAGTTATTTGAACATTCGAAGTATCAAGTTGTGAATCGAATTTTTTCATGAAATCAATTTCATCCTAAAGAAAAAAAAATGTATAGAAAATAACAATTAATAGATTATAATTAAGAGCGTCTTCTCTCTTGAAACATTTCTAATTTTCCGCAATAGTACAATTTGTCAGACTCAAATTTTTACTGCTGTCTTTCTCGTATTTCTTTTTTTTGAATGAAAAATCAAGAGATTGATATTTTTATAAATATCTCTGAGATTTTGTTCCAAGTGTCTCGAGAAAAAAATTCAGTCCGACCAGGATCTGAAGCAGGCCTGACGGTTTTTAAAGATCTCTTTGTACAATTATTTTTCTTCGAGTATAGGTTTCATCATTTTTGATACTCTAGATGTGACAAAAGTTTGAACCTGATAGGTTGTCCTCTCGTAAAAAACTAGAAATGGTCTAAAAGTGAGAGATCGGGGTATCTCTATATAAATCTTACTTTTATGTATTTTAACTTTTGTTCGATATCATCAAGTTCTTCAGAATTAATTAATTGTGAATTATTTTTCATAAATAATAATTGTTTTATTAATTTATCTTCAAGTAATTGTTTCATAACTCTTTGTAATGTTCGTAATTGGTCATATGAATGAGTATTTTCTTCTAATGTACGATTTTTCATTGATAATATACGATCATACATTGATTTTTTCCATTCATCTAATTCTTGATTAACATGTTCATGCATTTGTTTAAGATCAAATGAAGCCAATGCTTGTCGTTGTATTTGAACGTATTTATGTATTATTGAAGGTGATAATTCAGATGATGTTGATATACTAATTGATGCTGATCTTTGATTATTTGTATTTAAATTTGTCGAAGATATTATTGGTGATGATGGTGTTGGACGTGCCGGTTCAAGTGTTGTTTTATCTTCGATAAGTGAAATTTTCTTTGATGATTGATTTATTTGAGTTCGTGTTCCATAAAGTGATTTGTTGTTATTAAAAAGAGGTAAAGGATTAGGACCATTATTGTTTGACATGGTTGAAAACAGAAAGAAAATTGAAATAAAAAAAAAGCCAACAAAATTACGCTTTATGTTTCAATTTTTCGATTTTATTCGTTTTTTTATTGATTCATTTTAAAAAGCCAATCATTAAAATCTTGATTCAATTGACATTGGTTACCAGTGACGTCCATCGGAATTTCAACATCATACAAATATAAAACACAAAAAAAGAAAAGGAATTCAATAAATGTTATTTTAATCAGAAAAATGATTCACACATATAATACTAATCAACTTTTATATTGTTAATGTATAGTAGTCACAAGAAGTCTCGCTACCGAACAAATCGTACATTAACTTCAATCATATTGCCTGATATTTTAGTTACGAACGAATCTCTGTAAATCCTGCTTGTAGACAGCAGCTCGTGGTCGAATGGTTCTAATACAAAGAATTTACAATGAAAACATTGGCATTTTCCCTAGAAGCCCAAAAAAAGGTTTTTCTTGACATCTTTTTCATTTTCTACTATTTAAATGCGATAACTTTCATTGCATTATTAAAAACTAAATAATGGCATGCTTATGTTGTGTCATAGATAGGGTACTTGAATTTGCTGTAATCTTGAGGCATGCGGAAGTTTCCATCGCCTAGAACGAATATAGGACGGATGTGTTCTCCATTGATGATTGTGATCGTGAAATTTTCATGGAGCATTCGATAACAAAAAGAGCATCCACTGGAGAAAACTTCAAGGTTAATGGTTAATATTAGCTAGGAATACTAGTCACTTTTCGTTGATTGTCATTAAGTCTCATGTAAAGTTTATCCGAAGAATACTTCATAAATCAGGAAAACTAAAACCATTTTGATATAAAATTGCTGTTGATGACAGAAACAGCACTGAGCTGTTGAATGACAGATCTAACATCATGAGATTTATTTTCCATGTTGAGATATCTTTATCTGAAGAAAAAATCTATGGTAACCTTTGAAGTTTTTCCAATAAACGCCAATCTAGTCCTGATTAGTCATTGAGATCAAAGTTCAACATACTCTACTTTTAGTCATATTATGACACACAAAACGCTTAAAGTTTAGGTATTTTTTACCTGGTAGCAGGACTTTTTGTGACCACTATATTCATTGAGAGAAATATTTAGAGTAAATAATATGTATTTTACGCTTTTAAAATTGTGTATCTCATTCTTTTCATATAATAGAAAAAACGAACTTTATCATGATAACAAAATAGTTATGTAGAACATGTGATTATTGTTGTTTTTATCCTTTTTTTTTAATATTGACTTTATGATACATAACCAATAGAGAAATTCTTTTCTAAAGCAAAAAATGCAATGTAACAACAATAGAATTTTTTCTTGTGAAGTATGTCGTATTTTATCGTCCTGTGTGTGTCAAAACTTTACTCGTTTGTGGATTGTTTGCATTTCTATATCTTAGATTTACCAAAATAACAAGATACAGGTGAAAATAGAATCTTCTCTTGGATTTTTCCTAAGTTTTAGTTTTTATATTTAATAATTTGTTCTCAGTCAAATGATTAATATTCAAACATGTTGTGATGGATCTTTATGCAACATATAATTACATCACAATTTGATGTTTCATGTCATATGGCATTACAACTTAGCGAATGTCTTCTTGAATTAAAAAGTTTCGATGAATCTAACATAATGTCTCGACATCTCTATTTATATCATACAAAAAAATATGAACTTGGTGAAACGATGAAATTTATCTATGAAAATTTGAAAGATAAAATACAAAATTATCATGAACATTTATCTGTTTGTCGTGAAGATTTTCTTTTTGATCAATTGACTATTGATGAAACTGTTAAATTAACTGATAATAAAACTTGGTGGTTATACAGGTGGATGTGGTCCAGCTCATCGTTCATTTTTCCTTGCACTATGTCCATGGATCGATGATGATGATCTATATAATATATCAAAAAAAGAAGCAACATTAACTTATTTTAATCCATTAGCATGACAAGTTGCTGATATTGGTAATTTTATTTGCCGATCATTATTAAGGAATAATACATGGCACGATGCTGTTCAATCAGCATTTTAACACATTCTCTTCATACTGATTTAAGTGATATATATTATCGATATAGTCGTTGGTCTACTCCAAGTAAAAACATACATCCAGCTTATGCTCCAACAGTACTTCACGAAGCACTTCATTATATGACTACTTCAAATAATATAGCTGAAGTTATTGAAAAAGCTAAGGTTAATAGAAATGTTTACTGTTTACCTATTATTGGTGTATTATCGGAAGCTCTATGGAGTATTCCATTAGATTTGTATAAATATAAGGCTATTGATGTGCAATTGAAAATAATTTGTGATACAACAAATGAATTAAGCAAACAATGGATTTCACAATATGAGAATGCAAATGCTTGAAAAATCATCAAAACAGTAATTGTATTTTTACCATGAAAATGTTTTTAATAATTTAATGAAAAATTTTATATTAGATAGACATTTTGTATTGTGAGTATAAAATCTTTTCTTTGTTCTAGATTGATGGCTCAATCATTTGACATATGTGAACATATGATGCTTGGTCAAGCTATTGCTGATAACTTTCAAGCATCGACTGATATGGCTCTTTCACTTGGTAAAAGTTTACAAAAATATAAAGCATTCAAGGAATCTAGTGTCATGTCTCATTATCTATATTTATACCATCTCTCAAAGCCTAATGTTGGTGAGACAACTAAATTAGTTTATCAAGAACTTAAAGCAACTATAACAAAAGCACCAAATAAATTAACAAGGGAACAATTTAAATTTCCAATAGAAAAAATCAAAAATGCATCACAATCTGCTCATGAACAATTAAAAGGACTTTCAAGTGGATGTAATCCTGCTCTACGTTCTTTTCCACTTGCTTGTTGTCCATGGATCAATGACGATACTCTTTTTCAAATAGCATGTGATGAAGCACAGCTTACGCATTATAGTAATACAGCTGCACAAGTATCTGGTTTGACGAACTTGATTTGTCGACGTTTAATCAAAGGTGACGAATGGGCTGATGCTATCAAAGCTGCTTTTACAACTGTCCCCAATCTGTTGGGTGAAATTCAAGAAATTCAACATCGATATCAAAATGATACTGTTCTGAATTCTCGTGTACATGCTGCATATGCACCAAACACGTTACATACTGCTTTATATTGTGTTACAAAGGCTGATTCATTTGAAAGTGCTTTGAAACATGCATATGAACTTGATAAACTTTTTTGTCCGATTCTAGTCGGTATATTAGCTGGTGCTCGATGGGGTGTGCCATTATCAATGTTAGACAGGTGTCCTAAAGATAAACTAAACGAAATACATCAAATAGCAAAATGTTTTACTGATGAATGGACGAAACAATTAGAAAATGGACATAAAAAGACTATTTCTTCCTTGTTAAAGTTATTTCCTTGATTACAACATTTGATATTTAGCCAGAAAGAACTGTTAGAAATGTTTCAAACGTTGATTGTAAGAGAAAAATACTTCAAATCTCTTTTCAGTTAATCGTTAAATCATTTTTCTGCTACTATGATTCATTTCAACAAAGAAGAGCGATGGATATTTGTTTTTGAATAACTCTTGATATGGAGAAAATAAAGAACTGTAATTTTCACTATTACAAAAAGAGAAGATCCAAGTGCATACATATATTTTTCAGTTGAATTTCATTGCTTAAATGATCACTAGATAGAAAAAACTGTTCTCTTTCGATCTATACCAGACCGATATTACTAATTTATTCATTTCAAGAGTTATAGATGTTTTCTTGATTCCTGATGTCAGCCAATTGACCGCAAGTCATCACAAAAAACATCTGAAAGAAGTAATTCACTTCGTTGAGCCAAATAGTGATATTTGTTTTTGACGGATTCAAAATGATCTGATACTGTTATGTCAATATTTGTGACATGTAGACCCTATTGTGCTGAACGACAGCAGATTGTGAAACTTTGAAAATACTGAAGTAACAGTGTCAGATCATTTCAAATCCAAAAGCAAATATCGCCATTCGACTTAGTATAGTGAACTATCTCTGCGTAGATGCTTTTTGCAATGACTTCAGGTCAATAGACTGAAATCGCAGCTCTCAAGAAAAAAAATAATAATCTTTTTCATTATTATTATCAATTTGTTTCATTGTAGCTGTATTGAACGCATAGGCTTTCTTTAATTCATTAATTACTACGTATAAGTTTGAATTGGCCGTAGTAATATTTGCATTAAGCAGGTGTTTCCAGCTGTCTAATCCATGCATGTGTATGCGAGTAGAGAAGGTCAATATTTACACCCACCCCCTATTAGATAAATTCAAGGTTGCTCTGTTCTAAGATTCATTAACTTCAATGTCAGAATATTCTTCTCACAGGTACAATAGTTTAAAAAGAAACCAATTATGAGAAGTATAGTAACATTTAAAAAAAAATCTTTTTTTTTTTGTTTCTTTTTATTATTAAGAATGTTCTTCGCCTTCTATCAATGCTTTCTTTCCAACAACAAAATAATATGATAAATAATCATAATCAACATTTATTATTTATGAATACAATGATGCCATCCATGACAGCTCAATCATCTCAACAACAACAACAACAGCAACAACAAGAAAATCAATATGATCGTTCTTCAATTAATAGTCAACAATGTTTAGCTGATAAAATTCAAGCTGTACGTCATCTTTGGGAATCAGAAAATCAATATTCAAATTCTTCACAACATGTTCATCAAGTATCAAATTATAATCAACAACAAAATTCATCTATGATTGATCCAACTGTAAGTAATCATATGAATACAAATTATCAACAAGCAACACATGGTTTTATTCAATTTCAATAATAGATAAATAGAAGGAGGGATTGGATCTCTTCATCTGTCTTTCAGTATATTTCTGTCTCTTATGTATCCTATTTATTTATTTGTATAATCACATACATTCTTAGTATGTATCTTGGTGTTTGTGTGATTGTTTTCATTACTCCTTCTTTTCTTTGACACTTGGTGAGCATAATCATATATCCATCGAAGTTTATGCATTGTTTTTGTAAATAGAAAACAAGAAAAAGAAGAAGAATAAGAAGATGCTATTTGAAATTTGTCGTTGTGACATATGTAGCATAAAATATGTATTTCATCGTTTACTCTTTATTGTGTACGTACGGTTTTCTTGTATGTAGTTAGGTCAAATGTATATTATGCTCGCACTGCGAACAACTTTACTCTGGTTCCTTTTTTGTTTTGTTTTCTCTTTTCCGTTTCTTTCTATTTCTGCTGGTTTTTGTTATATTGTTTTCATGTGTTTTGTTTTGGTTTTTTTTTGCTTTTGTTTCTGCCCTTATTTTCTAACTTATTCAAATATATACATCGATTCATGCACATTGTATATCTTTCTTTCTTATGAAGATAAACATATGTTTCTAATGAGAGTATTTCATACTTGAGAATAATTTTAAAAAAAACTGAAAGTTTATCAAAATTTACTTAGTCAACTATATATTTTTATGTCAGAGTCATTCAATACTATATAAAGATTTGTAGAATGATTTTTGTTTTCGTTGCTTAACAATTTTTTATTTTTTGAATTATATTCAATTCTTCTTACTGATGGTAATCGGTATTTAGACAATATTGATTGATAAATATTTGTTGGTTATATATTACGGTACTTGTAGGGAACTAATGATATACCGTCAGTAAATTGCTCATCAGAGAATACCTATTGAAATACAACAAGACATTTGATATTTTCTTGAAAATTGTATAACCTTCAATAGTAACAAATGTATTTTTTATAACTATCGTACTTTATAATAAATGTCTTCTCTAGCTAAACATTCAACATTTTAAATATAGATATAAATATCATATGAAATTGATAAAATATTTCGAAGACAACTTGCTTGACATCATGAATGACGATATTTTCCATAATATTTGACAGATTTTTGTGACATAATCGTCAAAAACAAATAAAGATATCGTCAAAGTATAGTATATATGCAGCAATAGACGAAGGACAGGAATTTCTCAAGACATTCATAGCTTATTTGGGTCTACTCAATGTACATAGTCTCGATTCAATAGCAATTTATTAGTCGTGAAAACTTATCATTAATTACTTACATGATTGCTTTTTGGCTTATTGTTTTGAATTTCCTATTTATTTTTCATGTTTTGTCCCATTGACTTATTTTTGAATATTTACAAAAAAAGAAACAAAAGCAAAATATGTTTTAAGCACTGTCATCATTGTCATCGTAAGCAGCAACTAGTGAAGAAAAACCAGTGGAAGATTTTGAAGCAGAATCATTGTTTGTTGTTGATTTCTTCTTGATTATCACACCTAATGCATTTTTTGTTGGTTGTTGTTTTTTAGCATTAACTGTTTGAGCAAATGAAATCATTGTCTAAAAAAAAGCATAAAGATGCTTGTTGAAAGATGATTGTCAATATGACTTACTTTTGGTTTTATAGTATTGATTGCTAATGGGACTATTTCTTCATGTTTTTCAATAATTTCTTCACTTTCAATATCATCATGGCCAATTTCAGCCATTGGTTTACCAAATATTTTTCTAGAACAAAAATTATATTGCATTTTAATTCTATAAAGCAATGACGACAATACCGAATTTCAGCTTCATCTTCTTTTTCTTCAACTTGTTTTTTAAATATTTCATATTGTTTTTCTTGTTCGCGTTTTTGAGTTAACATTTGTTCAATTTTAATATCGGCATGACGTGCATTTAATTCTATTATATCTTCAAGTGCTTCGATAGCAGCCATTTCTTGTCGAGAATCACGTGTTCGAATTTCTAATAACTAAAATAATAATTTTATTTAAATTCAAAAATAAAAATTTTATGTTTTGTTTTTCTTACCTTCATAGGATTTAGAGCTTTTTCTTCAGCTTCTTTTGCCGCTTCTTCTTTTGCTTGTTTTTCAGCAAGGCGAATTGATTCAAAATTTCGTATTCCGCCATGTTCTAATTCATAATCACCATTAGCCGGATCAGTCTACTCAAAAACAAATAAATCAAATAGGAATAGGTTTTTTTTTAAATCTTACTTTAAATGTTATTTCACGTAAACATTTCGTGCATTTAATATAAAAACGATAGGTTTGAATACCCAAATAAGTTTCACCCATAACATCTTCTTTTCGAGCATTGAATTTTTTACCTTTATAAATATATTCACCACACGTTTCACATCTGTCAAAAAAGAAAAAGAAAAACTAAATTAACACAATTATTTTTTTTTGTGCATACCGCATATTACATGATCCCATTAAACGAATGGTACATTGACGATTTTTTGAACGTTTAGCACGAGGTAATTTCGATGGATCAAAATCTGGTGGATAATATTTCTAAATAAAGAAGCTGAGATTAATTTATCAATTAATAAAAATCCTATACATACGTTTAAAACTTTTCGTTCAGACATGATTTAAGAAAAAACGATCAACTTTTGAATGATTATGAAAAACAACAAATTCTTGCAAGTATATAAAAATTTCGGAAATACAAGAAAACAATAATGCATCGTTGAAAGAAATATCTAATTGGATGATATTTCATCAATCAGAATTCAATAATTGCAAAAGTGATCTATAGAAAAGAGATGGCTATGACACTATTTGGTCCAATAAATAGAATACATCATAGGATGTGAGTGCAACGTAGTGATGGAACCAAAGCAGTAGCGCCTCTCTTCTTTTGAGAGGACATTGGCACATGGTACCCTCGCTACATGCGCCATGCAATCAAAAATCCAAAAACAAATATCGCCATTCGACTTAGTATAGTGAAGTATCTCTGTGTAGATGCTTTTTGCAATGACTTCAGGCGAATAGACTGAAATCGCAGCTCTCAAGAAAACTCTTACAGCTCTTGAAATTAATGAGCTAGCAAGATCGATGCTGTTTAGATTAGAATAGAAGAAAATTTTCTATCTAGCAATCAAGTTCAACTGAAAAATAGGTCCTACATATCGTTTTTAAAATATTCACCAAGAGAATTAATCTGTTTGGTTTAGTGCTAGCCGATCAGATGTCGATTCCTATGTATATGTCTGAGGTTTCTCTTTGTAATGGTGAAAACTGGAGCTCTTTATCTTGTTCATATCAAAAGTTATTTAAAAAATACCTACGGCTTTCTTTTCTCGAAATAAATAATAGTTACAGCAATAGGCGAGAACATGACACTGAACGCGCTAAATAGATTTCATTCTATAGAACAATTTTATTTACTACATGCCAATATTTTTTGTTTTATTAGCGCTATGTCGAAGATCAATTATCCAGAGGATAATAGGAAACTAGACCCTTATAGTCTCGTTTTCAAAAAAACAATTGGAACAGGTTTGTACATAGCAGTTAGGCTTGCGCAATAATGGATGCTGATAAAAAGGCAGATAAGTGATCTAAGTAACACTGATGTAGATGTGGATGAGTGTTCCGTTAATCCAATTACGAATGTAAGTGTTAGGTCTGCCACGTGGTAGAGGGTCGATAAATTGAATTTCTTCGAAGTGCATTTGTAGATATATTGGCATCTCTTTTGAGAGAATATAAAATTCGAAAAGCTCAGGTGATATTGTTTGTGCTTGATGAATGAAGCGGTATAAAAAAAGTTGAGCACGTGTTGCAACGATTTGAAAAGCAGGCAACTATTGTACTTCGTCGTTACGAGCATTCCACCAATTGTAGATCAATCTATAGATTTGACGATGTTTGGCTTCAATTTTATCAATAGTTCCGTTGGAAAGTGAGGGCCAGGTTGCATATATCAGTTGAAAATATGGAAAAATAAATGCATTAAAGATTAGTTGACGTGTTCGTAATGATGATACATGCGATTGAGTGATGTATTTGAGTACAATTGAATTAATTTGAATTTTCACAAGCATATAAGTGCAATGTGTATTGAATGATAAGCGTTCATCAACAAAGTAGCCCAGATATTTAAAGAGAAAAGTACGTCTGAGAGTTTGTTGATTAATGGTGAGAGTAAGAGAAGGTAATACCGCCCGTCTATGTATCCATTCCCATTCTGTTTTGTCACAATTAATTAATTGTGTCCACGTATTAGCATAGATTTGGAGCTCGTTCAAAGTAACTACGTTGACCTAAATTTTGCATATGTTTCACACACTCATATCGAGTCCACCATGAAGAGGCTGTTACTATAAGAGCTAGGTCGTCGGCATACAGATGTTGATGACTGGTTGATAGGATTTCTTGAACTAGTGTGCAGTGAAATAAAAGAAAAAGAATTGAACCGAGCCATGAGCCTTGTAGAATTCCCTTCTCAATGCTGAAGATGTTGGAAGTAACATTGTTTAGTTCAATATAACATTTACGATTCTTCCAATATTCTATGATGGAATCGAGTGACTCTCGAGAGCAAATCATGTTGTACAATTAATAGATTAATCCATCATGCCAAATCTGATCATAGGCTTTGGTGAAATCTACATAAATTACACTAGCTGCTGTGTGTTGTACTAGATCTGAAGTAATATCCTGTATAAATTGAATCAATCTGGTGGCGGTAGAATGATGTTGTCTAAATCCGGATTATTCCGATGAAAGAATACTGGTATTGTTTATCCACTAAAGAAGATAGACAAGAAAATATCTTTCGTATACCTTACTTAAGCATGGTAAGAGTGAGATAGATCGCTTTCTGTTTATGTGTAGAATAATTGATTTATGTTTGGGTAATAGAATCATCTTTGATAATTTCCAATGTTGAGAATATTCATTATGAATAAGCAGCTGATTAAAACTTTGAAGAATAAAACCATAATGAGATGTCGGGATTGACTTTAACA